GGGAGACGATGATTTTAATTAAAGAGGTTTTCTGTCCTTGACCTTTCACTTAGAACATTTGCTTGAGATCCTTGCACACCCTCTACCTATGGGTTCACTATGGGTGAAATATGAGCCCAACTGGGCCAAGGGGAGAGTAACCAATTTTACACAGAGGTTTTGACCTTGACCTTAGATCTAGAAAATTGGTTTAAGGTCACTGCACACCCTCTACCCACCGACACTCCATGGGTGAAGTATGAGCGAGATATCACCAAGGGGAGAGGAAATATGCTCTAGACAAGGATTTTTTGCAGAGAGGTTTTCTAACCTTGACCTTTCATCTAGAAAATTGGTTCATGGTCATTGCACCTCCTCTACTCACTGACACTGGCACTCTATGGCTGAAATATGAGTCCATCTGTACCAAGAGGTGAAAAGATATGCTCAGGACAAGCATTTTTTTAAGAAAGGTTTTAGAAAGGTTTTTTTGACTTTTCATCTAGACAAGAAATGTTTGAAAAACTTATTTGTCCCTGTGTGGCAATTTTGAAAACAGAACAACGTTAAAAAGTCTGTAATTATACTGAAAACAATTTGTCATCTTCTATTCAGGGGCAAACATAATATGTACAGAGTTTGCTCACTATCAGATCTCAATACCCATAACATTAATTCATTAGTCCATTTGCCACCCCCCCCCCCAAAAAAAAATGAAACGTTTTTTGACAGTTTACTCATCTGATGGCTCCTCTTGTATCATGCTGTCAATCTGATGCTATCAAACAAAAATCCAAAACTAATAAACAGAATTATGTATAATCTTAGTATAGTCTACTTGTGTGCCACATTATATTAAAATCAGACCAAAACTGTAGGAGGAGTAGCATTTTTGAAAGTACACATGTATTTCACAGAAATTTCTATTTTTAGTAACCATGGCAATATCATTCATCGAAATCAAAAACTGATACATAGAATTATGTTTCTTAGATTCTACTTGCATGCCAAGTTATATTAAAATCAGACCAAAACTGTAGGAGGAGTAGCATTTTAAAAGTATTTCACAGAGAATTCATAATTTTAGTAACCATGGGAACACCATTAAATCGAAATCAAAAACTGATAAACAGAATTATGTTTCTTAGTTTAGACTACTTGTTGTCAAGTGATATTGAAATCAGAAAAAAAAACTGTAGGAGGAGCAGCATTTTGAAAGTATTTCACAGAGAATTTATATTTTTAGTAACCTTGGCAACACCATTCATTGAAAATCAAAAACCGATATAAAAAATTATGTATCTTAGTGTAGACTGCTTGTATGCTAAGTTATATTGAAATTTGACCAAAACTGTAGGAGGAGTAGCATTTTGAAAAATTGTATACAGAGAGACAGACAGACTGGCAGACACCTCACTTTTGCATAAGCTCTTCTGGTCTCTGACCAGTAGAGCTTAAAACCTTTTTCGTGGTGGTGGGGTCCACATTTAATAACTGCAAATTCCGGGGGGGAGGGGGGGGGGATGGGGTGGTGGTTCTGGACCCTAACCCCTCTCTAGATCTGCATATGAAATCACACGTAGGCATATTTCATGAAATGTGCTAGTACTTCATGAAAATTATACCTACATGCAAGCTCTGTAGCCTCATTTTGGTGACACTTAAGTGTGATTTTTTCTCTGTAAATTTCTAAGCATGAGTATACATGAAATTTGACATTCAAATCAATTTCATAGTTGGCTAAATAGAAAAGCACAGCAAATGTAACAAGAAGTCTGTGAGCCAATGCTCACTAGTAATACCCCTGCTTTGATATGAACATAAACTCTCATGTGAATACTGTAGGTCACTTTTTATTCGCGAAAACTTAATTTTTGCATAATTATGCAAGACTGCCTGCTCGCAAAAATTTAATTCAGGCAAAAAGATTATATAGAACAATAACCAAAGTTCGTGAAAATTACGTCTCACTCATAAAAACCAAATGCCCATCTCGCAAAATTAAAGTGTTGCGAAAATTTGGTGATCTACAGTATATTGGAATGGACAGACGCAGGGATAAACAGGAAGTTGACATCCAATTCATTCAAAAATGAATCCCACCAAATGGCATGAGAAAAAAAGAGCGTGCTAAAATTTCAAGCATCTGTGATAAGTAGTTGCTGAGAGAACTGTGACGGAATTTGGTACACACAGATGCAAGGATTAACAGGAAGCTGACATCAGATTTGTACAAAAATGAATCCCACCATATGACATGTCTTAAGACAAAGAGTATGCTAAAATTTCAAGCATCTGCAAAGAGTACCAGTAGCCAATGAGAAAAAATGCGACAAAAATTTGTTAAGGACACAGACAAAGAACACAGACAGACACATAAGGGTAAAACAGTATACCCCCCTCTCCTTTGGAGTGGGGGTATAAATATTAGATAATGTTCTAAATGTACATATACACTGTACATATAATACCAAAACTTCTCCTCTGCTTTCAAGGGCTTGGAACCTTCTGCTTGAAAAAACATGCTAAACATGTTAATCCAAGCAGGCAGCATTAAAAGTTTTGTGCTATTTTGGTTTTGTTCCTTTTTTCTGTTTTTTGGTTTTTTTCTGTTTTTCTGTTTTTTTGTTTTTTTTGTTTTTTTGTTTTTGTTTTTTTTGTTTTTGTTTTTTTTTTTTGGCTGTTTTTTTTTTTAATTATTTTTATCATTTTTTTCTGTGTACTTCTGATTTTGTTTTGTTTTTTTTCTGTTTTTTTTTTTTGGTTGTTTTTTTTGTTTGTTTGTTTGTTTTTTTTTTTTTCATTTTTTGCACAAAACTTGCCAATGATTCAGAAAATTTAACATTTACAAATCACAATATAACATTTACAAATCACAGTATAACATTTACAAATCACAATGCATGTATAACATTTTCAAATTGAAATTTAACATTTACTGTACAAATCACAATTTAACATTTTCTTCAAAATTTATCAATTACTCTCACTGCGTATTTAGTCTTCACATTTCAATTACTCAATGAATTAAAAGTTAGTGTCAGCTTAACAATTATTATTACAATAGCTAACATATGTACATTCCAGGAACACTTCTGTAATTTAATATTTTTCATTATCTGCAATATACTATAATATATATATATATAATGTTTAATTGTAGATAAACTATAAACAAAGAGCATGAAAGACAAGGCAGCCTACAACTAGTCGCATTTTCAACCTCTCCTCCCCAGGCCAGCCTGGCTACCGTAGCGGCCAAGGAACTTGAAGTTCCAACCAGTATTGCCCCAGGGTATTGTAAAGGTCTACTTATACAACTAGCCTTCAACTACTTCATCTATTTAACGATAACAATAACGAATGGTTATTTCAATGACATAAAAGAAAAAAATGGGGTCAGTGTGGGAGGAAGCCGGAGTACCCGGAGAAAACCCACGTGTCCGAATTGGGCAACCCCATACCCTTTCGTAATTCGGACACCCATTACAAAAATGTTTTTAAAAATGTTTTCGATTTTAAAAACACATAAAAAACATTGTTGCTAGAATTTGTATATAAAATAGCTTGGAAGATTTGGATATCTGCATTGTGTCTCGCTTAGAACTCCATATGATCTCAAGGATGTCCCTCTTAAATTTCTTCACTCAGATTTCCTGCAAATGAATGAAACAAGATCTAGAGGTATTCATCAGATTTCAGTAAAAAATGAAGGAAAAAAAAAGTAAAACATTGTAATCAAAGAAACTTTCCATACCTGAAGGGTCCTTGTCCTTGGTTGTTGTTTTTTTCTTCATTTGTTGTTTAACGTTCCTTTTGAGAATTTTTCACTCATATTGAGACGCAAAGCCCTTGTCCTTGGTAATGTCAAGCAAACCCACGTGAATTCACTTTAATTCCCTACTCGGTACATGCAGTCACCAAATCTTCAAACTTAAAAAAAAGAGAAATTTTTAATGCTACGGCATCAAATATAGGACAGAACAGAAAATAAGACAAAACTACATGCATTTGAGTAAAATAATTCATGAGGATATCCATACTCATTGTGCACTTTACCATAATCCTTATAAAGTGTCAGAAATGTACGTTTGTACAGGTTCAGGTCTCACAAAAGGAAATATTTTCAATACATGTTACTATATAGCATTAATTAAATTAATTGATTAACTAGACTTTCAGCAGATAATCAATAAGGGAGTCTGTACATGTAAAAATGTTTTATTTTTTATTATTTATCTTATTTAAATTATTTTAATTTATTATCTTGTTTTTCTTACCGGTCTGATGATTACAACAAAGGTTACAGAGGTGATTGGTAGAAATACGGGTGTCAAAACTCTCTGTTGATGACCAGACAGCATACCGCATTGTATATCTGCAGCCATTATTGATCTTAAACAGGGGAGAGTACTCCTGAAATCAGAGAAATTGTAGTCAGAATGAGAGTTAGTTACATGTTACTCTTTAGGTCTCACACAAGGATTCCGAAATAATTTCACTATAGGTTACTATATAGCATTAAGTAAATTAATTGATTAACTAGACTTTCAGCAGATAATCAATGAGGGAGTCTGTACATGTAAAAATGTTTTATTTTTTATTATTCATCTTATTAAAATTATTTTAATTTATTATCTTGTTTTCTTACCTGTCTGATGAACACAACAAAGGTGTTTGGTAGAAATACGGGTGTCAAAACTCTCTGTTGATGACCAGACAGCATACTGCGTTGTATATCTGCAGGCATTATTGATCTTAAACAGGGGAGACTACTCCTGAAATCAGAGAAATTGTAGTCAAAATGAGAGTTACATGTTACTCTTTAGGTCTCACACAAGGATTCCGAAATATTTTCACTATAGGTTACTATATAGCATTAATTAAATTAATTGATTAACTAGACTCTCAACAGATAATCAATGAAATAGAAAATAAAGATTAATGCTTAGACAAAAGTTAGATGCCTTATGCAGCTTTTAAGAAAGAAAATTGACAGTAAACATACCTACCCTGAAATACACGTGTTTCACATGTTGACGAACAGACTACACACCATCCAGGAAGTTGCATCATACGCACCTAAAAAAAAAGTTCCCTTTAATTCAGTGTAGAGTAGAGTCCAACCTGTAGGATCCTACACAGAAACCATGTCAGATGACCCAAACTCAAAACTATACAAAGTCCTTCACCAAGAAAAGACTGCTTAATTGTGGAATCAGGCATTTAAAGAACACTTACAGAAGTTTCCAGACTGTGATATTTCACTGGACTGGAATCAGCATGGGGAGGAAAAACGAGGCCTTGCATTGATCCTTTCCATCTGATATAAGAAGTGCCACTATATCAGTCACAGAGAAAAGCTGTATGAAGTGGTGAGATGATCCAGAAGGGGATGTAAAGCTGCACAGCTAAATGTGGCCATGGCTGTCGGTCACCTGGGTACCAGTCTTACTACAGAGGGTATGCATGGTATGCTTCTTGGTGCAAATATTGAACCAGCATCAACCACCAACATGCAACAGACCTGCAACAAAGTGGGGAAAATTATCAAATGTGAATAAAACTAGTATGAAGAAAATAAGGCAGAACATTCAAGAACTTCATGAAAAATGTGGACTTCCTGATACCCCTATCAGAGCAGAAGGAGATGCCCGATATAATAGTGCCACTTTCAGTGCCATTGGAAAAACCCCATTCCAAGCTGCCACCCAAGTGACTAAATATACCATAAGTAAAAATGTAACTCAAAGGAAAAATGTTGTGGCAGTGTTCTGTGGGAATAAACTATGCAAGAAAGGTGCACATCTGAGAAGCAAAGGAAAGGAAGTTACCTGCCCAGGACACGACAACTGCACTGCATCCATTCCTCTGGAGACCACCATTGGAGATGAGAAGAGATGGGACGCAAAATGTATTGGTGAGTTACAAAGTGATGACAGTTTACTAGTCATTTCCCATTTCACCAGTGATGGAGATACATGTAGTGCCGCTGCACCTGGTGCATCTGAAAAACAAGGGCATGTCATTGAAAACTTAAAGACTTGCATCACTTCTTTAACTCTCAAAGAAAACAGACTGCTAATGCTCCATTCAGCAGTCACACATTTCCGAGAAAAACCAAAGCCATAAGAGAATACATGCAGAGAAGATTTGCCTTGGACCTGAAGCTTCAAAGCAGGACAGAGTACGAAAATTGCTACAAACACTACTCTGGAGACTTACCTTTGACGAAGCGGGTTATGTCTACTGCTGTCGGTTCCATCGTAAGCTGCTACCACTTACAGTGTGGAAAGTCCTGTCAAGTTAATTCCTTTTTCCTGACGTGGACTGAAAAGCAATAAGTGGAAATCTTCAGTGTTGCCTAGTGACTTTAAATTAAATATGACAGAAGAAGACAATTAAATGTTTGTTAAAAGACTGTATAAATTTGACTTTCGGACCAAGTAATCTTGATAGAATTAAATATCATACTTGTAAACAAAAACCAGAATCTGTGAATAGGGCATATTTAAAATCAAATCCAAAATGTATTACAAGTAGTAGAAATTTTGAAAGTAGAATACATAAAGTTGTGCACTCACTGAATAAGGTCATGGAAACTCAACATTGGATATTTGTGAATCTGTAGGGGCATCTGTTGTAAAAGGAAGTAGAGTGGTCCATCATCTATAGCAACAAAATTACTTTAAAATGAAACAAAAACTGTTAAAACATAAATCTCAAAGAAAATACTTTAGATCTAAAATATATCAGCTCATTGATAAAAAATCTAAAGAGGACACTTACAGTAAATCACTAACAAATCCAAAATTAAACATAGGTAATCAAAGATTACGAAGCACACCTCGACCAATGTTATCTATAAGTAAGGCAAATTTCACATCATATTTTTTTTCTAGTTAGGGAACATCCCAAGATCAATATCCTTGCAAGTTTAGTTTAAGTAGGACTTGTAGTTACTTGGAAATAGACCTGCTCAAAAAACTTTTAACCTGTTAAGTAATCAAGAAAATTTTGGTCAGTTCCAACATCCAAAGCAAGTCTGGAAGTTTTCATCCTTAGATGCACCATCTATGCAATTTAAATCATAACAGGCCATAATATTATATAGCTACACCAAAAAAATTACCCTGATCACTCATCTGGATAATGTAGGTCAGATTCAGAATCCAAAGCAAGTCTGGTAGTGTCCATCCCTAGATACACAGGGATTTATTAGTACCTTCTCAGGGGCCGAAATTCGGCCCCATTTCCAATGGAAAATGAGTTCAATTTTTCCCAATTTGGCAGTATTTTTCCCAATTGGTGAACAATGCTTTTATATTTAATTATCTTGGGAAAAAACTCAGTAAAATTGTCAGATTGTCTGTAATTTTCCTCTATTTATCTCATTTAGCAAAGCTACAGTCATAACACATAGAAAAACATCGTCGACTTTTATTCCGAATTTCCTCAGTTTTTCTGAAAACGATGATATTGTGTAATAATATAGATTTATTAAGTTATTTTCACCTACTGAATTGATCTACGAGTGAATGGTAGGAACTGTAGGCATATATTTCTGATGGAAAAATATATTTTCAATGCATTTTTACGTATTAAAAGGTGACTTTGAGAAAACTTAGTGTAATTTTTTGCAGGAGGTTTATAATCTCCAGAAACAGATTCTAATCACCAAAATTGGTATCTAATACACACATGTACTACCCTAAGTTGTATAAATACTTTATACCCATTGGAATCGAATTTAGTTGTATTAGTCTATTATTCATTATCATAATTGATCTTGTATGATCAGAGACATATTAATTAATACATGTATATGTCTCTTATATGATGAAGTTGGATTATGTTTAATTGTCTGTTTGGTTGCCCAAATTAGAGTTCATGCTAAAATGTTAAATGAATTACACCTGAATACATGATGTTAGCAAGATTTTAATTTTTCCCAATTTCATCAAACAGCCGATAATTTTTTCCCAATTCCCTAAAAATGGCGTTTCCCAAAATAGGCTGATAAATCCCTGATACATCATCCATGCTAATTTGGTTAAAATATGGCTAAAATTCACTCATGTAGAAAATCTAGGTCAGATTCAGCATCCGAAGCAAGTTGGTTAGTGTCCATCCCATCCCTAGATGCATCATCCATGAAAGTTTGGTCCAGGTAGGGCTTATAGTTACTTGGGAACAGGACTGCTCTAAAATCTAATCCTGGTCTCACATGTGGAAAATGTAGGTCAGATCCAGCATCCAAAGCAAGTGTGGTAGTGTTCATCCTTTGGATGCATCATTCATGCAAGTTTGGTCAAGGTAGGGCTTATAGTTACTTGGGAACGGACCTGCTCCAAAAACTTTAACCTGGTCACTCATCTGGAAAATCTAGGACAGATCCAGCATCCGAAGCAAGTGCGGTAGTGTCCATCCTTTGGATGCATCATTCATGCAAGTTTGGTCAAGGTAGGGCTTATAGTTACCTGAGAACGGACCTGCTCCAAAAACTTTAACCTGGTCACTCATCTGGAAAATCTAGGTCAGATCCAGCATCTGAAGCAAGTGTGGTAGTGTCCATCCCTAGTTGCATCATCCATGCAAGTTTGGTCCAGGTAGGGCTTATAGTTACTTGGGAATGGGACTTGCTCCTAAAACTTAACCGGGACGCCGATGCTAACGGGGTATAGCATAAGCTCATCTCGACTTAGTCGAGGTGAGCTAAAAAGGAAGTTGTAAGTGTGAAAAGGGGGGGTATTGATGCTGTGTATTTAATTTAAAGTATAAATTTGTATTTAATACATAATTTGTGAATTCTGTTAATGTAATAACTGTTGCTATGTTTTATTATGCACTGATTCTATCAACTGTGTAAATGGGGAATATGTGTGTAAAATTTGACATTTTCTTATATGAGGGAGTCCGTACATGTAAATATTTTTTATCATTTATCTTATTAAAATTATTTTAATTTATTATCTTGTTTTCTTACCTGTCTGATGAACACAACAAAGGTTACAGAGGTGATTGTTAGAGATACGGGTATACAGGTGTCAAAACTCTCTGTTGATGACCAGACAGCATACCACATTGTATATTCGCCATTATTGATCTTAAACAAGGGAGAGTACTCCTGAAATCAGAGAAATTGAAGTCAGAATGAGAGTTACCTGTGACTCTTGTCTCACACAAGGAAATATTTTCACTACATGTTACTTTATAGCTTCAGTTCAATTAATTATCTAGACTCCCAGCAGATAATCAATGAAAGAGAAAATAAAGCTACTGATTAAATTTGAGATCAGAAAAAAATATGCCTTATGCAGCTTTTAAGAAAGAAAATTGACAATTAACATACCTACCCTGAAATACATGTGGGTTTCACATGTTGACAAACAGCCTACACACCATCCAAGAAGTTGCATCATGCGCACCTAAAAAAAGAGTTCCCTTTAATTCAGTGGGACAGTTCTGATAAAGATATGATATTCCTATTACATGAGTTCAAAATTCAATACCGTAGGCCTAAAATAAGATGCCAAAAAGTGAAAAAACAAAAAGAAATTGTCTCTCTATATATAGAACTATAATTGACTAAGTTCATGAGTGTGAAATAAAAACTGAAGTGAACTGTCATGTCTTGCAATGTTTTCACTTGCTTTTTATAGTACCTGATACGTATTGATATTATGCATGTAACAATTAAAGTTATAATATTAGAACTATATACTACCGCAGAAGTAGTCAAACTTTGTTATCTGAAACTCGATGGGACAGAGAAAAAGTTCGAAATATCTGAAGATTTGAGATACTGATTTTAAAATACCTAAAGAAATTATTAAGTTGTTGGGACTTCCAAATCAGTTTGACATATCCATGGTATTCAAGTTCCATGGTGTTAGAGATAATGAAGTTTAAAAGTATATTATATATTAAAAAAAATATGCAATTTTTCTAAACGTCCAACTACACAGGGTTGGGGTCAATTACTTTGAAATGTAATTGATACTTTCAAATACATTGATAATTTTGTCAATTACTTGCAATTACAATTACATTGATTTTAACAAATGTAATTAATTACTCTCAATTACTTTGAAAAATGTAATTAAATACATATCAATTACTTTAGTTTTATTTCCAAAAATTTTGAAGAACATCTAGATGAATATTTTGAAGCAGCATAATTAAATTTGGCCTTTCTTATTGCCCTGGAGAGAGTGTTTATGCTGTATAAACATTATAAGGCATTTAGTTATTGAATAAACACAAACTCATGCCAACCAGTACTGGTATGCATTATGATAAAACACCTTTTTTAATATGTAACTTAAAAAATGAAGTATATGAACTGTAATTGAAATGTAATTGAAAAATATATGACATTTTTGGAATGTATTTAAATACATTCAATTACTTGTAATTGAAAACAGTCGCCCGTGTGGTGCAGTGGTTAGAGCGTCTGCTCTAGAGTCGCGAAGTAAGGAGTTGATCCTTACGTCGTGGGTTCGAATCCCACTGTGGGACATGGAGACCGGTCCTTCGGATGAGACCATATAAACCAAGGTCCCGTGTCGCAGTAGGTGCTGGCACGAAAAAGATCCCTCACTGCTTAATGGCCCTAAGTGCTGAGTGTATGACAAAATTTGCAGCTCTCCACCGGCAAGTGGTGGCATCTCCATATGAGTGAAAAATTTTCGAGAGGGACGTTAAACAACATACAATCAATCAATGTAATTGAAAACAAACTCAATTACATATACTTTCAATTACTTTGAAAAAATGTATTTAAATACAGTAAATTAAAATAATTACTTATTTCAATTACCCCAACCCTGCAACTACATGTATTTTTTTTTTTATCTGAAAATATATTGATCAGTTTTCAATTAGAAAATGTATAAATTAGAGCTTTTATTTCACAGGTTTCCTAAAAATTTATTTTTATATTTGAGATTTCATAATTTTCCATATATATATGTATAATACGATTGATTATAATGATAAACTCCGAAGAAATAACGTGGGCATATTTCCATTATATTTTGTGAATTTAGTGACATTTTTGTGAACATTTTCAATTACTTTACTGCTAATTTTTAGAACCTGAGGATTGGACTACCTTAAGAAGATTTTGGATGATGGCTGTGTCCTATACCTGATCAGTGTCAGTTATATACAGTAATTGTGGTATATCTTTTGGGAGGGTCAACTGATCTATCAAGCTCTTCCATTTGTTTCCATCAAGTCCTGCAGCTGCTGTTTCCACATCTTGGAAGATCAGTATCCATCAAGCTCGTCTCTTCTAGTTGTTTCCACCAAGTCCAGTTGACTGCAGCTGCTGTTTCCACCAGATCCACATCCACGGGGCTCGTCTCTTCTAGTTGTTTCCACCAAGTCCAGTTGACTGCAGCTGCTGTTTCCACCAGATTCACATCCACGGGGCTCGTCTCTTCTAGTTGTTTCCACCAAGTCCAGTTGACTGCAGCTGCTGTTTCCACCAGATTCACATCCACCAGGCTCGTCTCTTCTAGTTGTTTCCACCAAGTCCAGTTGACTGCACTGCTGTTTCCACCAGATCCACATCCACGGGGCTCGTCTCTTCTAGTTGTTTCCACCAAGTCCAGTTGACTGCACTGCTGTTTCCACCAGATCCACATCCACCAGGCTTGTCTCTTCTAGTTGTTTCCACCAAGTCCAGTTGACTGCAGCTGTTGTTTCCACCAGATCCACATCCACCAGGCTCTTCTCAAGTTATTTCCACCAAGTCCAGTTGACTGCAGCTGTTGTTTCCACCAGATCAACACCCATCAGTCTCCAAGTGTGCTACTGCTTCCATCAATTTGTGTCCAACTCTGTATGCAGCTGCTGTTTCCACATCTCTATAGAAAAGAAGATTTTTGAAAGATGCCATTAAATTTTTACTAATTCTTAAATATCTCTCAATGAAAGAGGGCATAGCTTTTCTTTTTAATAAACTTGAATCTCCTTCATCCAAGGATGCTTTGTGGAAATTTCAGTTGAAATAGGCCAAGTTGTTCCATAGAAGAAGATGAAATTCTGAAAAAGTTTACGATGATTACAATGACAACAAAAGCAATGACAACAACAATGCACAAATTTTGATCAAAAAAGCTCACTTGAGCAAAGGCTCAGGTGAGGTAAAAACCTAACATATCCAATGTATTTTTTTTTAAACTGAGGATTGGATGAATAAAAAATATTGGACATGCATGCAGTCAATGAGATGTTTGACCACTTCTATGTTTTAATTGACATTTGTTAATCCTTAGTTGAGGCAGGATCATCCAACAACATTAGTCACACAGCTGTATTTGCATTTTTGTTAAACAAAATGGATTTTTGCTAGCCCTAAAGAATCAAATTGTTGCCTTTGTTTGGTCAGATAAAATGCCTGTTGCCCTTGAACCCAGTCAATAAAAGTGGGGGAAATAACTCACGGTGTGAATACATGTATATTGATTGAAATTATCCCCTGTCGTGACCCCACCCTACCCCTGGGGGAATTAACATTGCCTGAGGAAACTTCTGTTTTAAAATGATTAATAATTGATTTTCTGATCTTGAAAGATATTTCCTATGTATTCATTTGTAAAACTTTGATGGCCCATTGTGGCCCCACCCCACACCTTATTTAAACACATATGAATCTACACTACCTGAGGATGCTTCCATATGAATATGACTAATCGTTGCTTTGTCACAATGAGTGTTCTTGAAATATTTTGAAAGATTTTTCTGTGTTAAACTTTGATTGCCAATTGTGGCCCCACCCTACCACTTGGGTCATGATTTAAACAAATTTGAATTTACACTACCAGAGTATGCTTCCATACAAATATGACTAATCATGGCTTTCCTGTTTGTGAGAAGAAGATTTTTAAAGATTTTTCCTATGTATTCCTATTTAAAACTTTGAGCGCCTACTGTGGTCTCACCCTACCCCCGGAGGTCATGATTTGAACAAACTTGAATCTACACTACTTGAGTATGCTTCCAGATAAATATGACCAATCATGACTTTGCTATTCTTCATCATCAGATTTTTAAAGATTTTTCTTATGTATTCCTATGTGAAACTTTGATTGCCTTTTGTGGCCCCACCCTACCCCAGGGGTCATGATTTGAACAAACTTGAATCTACACTACCTGAGTATGCTTCCAGATAAATATAACCAATCATGGCTTTGCTTTTCTTGAGAAGAGGTTTTTACAGATTTTTTCGTTGTATTCCTATGTAAAAGCTTTGATCATCCATTGGGGCCCCACCCTAGCCCCGGGGACCATGAATTGAACAAATTTGAGTCTACACTTCCTGAGGATGCTTTCATATAAATATGACCAATTCTTACTTTGCTGTTCTTCATCAGAAGATTTTTTAGCCAAGGATGCTTTGGAAGTTTGGTTGAAATTGGCCCAGTGGTTCTGGAGAAGTCAAAAACATGAAAAGTTCACAGACGGACAAACAGACAGAAGGACAGACAGATGCTGAACAAAATGTGATCAGAAAAGCTAACTTGAGCCTTTGGCTCAGGTGAGCTAATAAGTTTTCAATAAAGCTTTTTGTTTCATTTATTTTGAAACTTGAGTCTAGGTTATTGGTAGATACATGTATATCTAACATTATCAGTCAAGAGAAAAAACTAAGAACAGACTGAAGTCAAATTTTCAAATAAATATAACATCTGAAATAATTTTGATAATCAAAACAAATTTTCATAAAATGTTTGTATTTGAATATTATACGAATATGGAATTTTTTAAACACATATGAAATCAAAAATAAAACTTGATTGAATTTGATTGTATTTGTTGTTTTACAGTTGCTACCAATTTGTTATTGACTTTGATCAGTTGCGGCCGTGATTTGAACACACAACCTTCCAATCACAGAGTGAGTGCTCTACCAACTGAGCTTCCATGACGGCAATAAAACTCGAGATATTAAGAATGAAAATTTAGACTCATCTTTTCTCAGTTTATGGTCTCAGGGCCTGATCCTGCAAATTGGTTTTTATCAACATTTGGCTTTAAAAAAATTTTATTCAAATAACTCTTGGACTTGCCATAAATAAGGAATGATATTATTTTGTTGAATCAGATGTAACACATTTATCTTTACTTTGATGCTTTATCCCTTCTGAAAGAACTTTGTGGTGTACACGTACTCATCACAATATTAACATACAAGAAAATCATTTGACATTTTTAGTCAAAGCTGTTTGTTAGCACCTGTTGGCACTTTTTTTTTTCAATTAATTTGTAAATTAAGTACCAAATCTAACCACTGCATTTAAACCTCTCTTGAGTATTATTCATGAAATGAATACATCTCGCTAATGAATGCTAGGTTACACATCCTTCTGGCTATGCTCTGGATCAAGGGAAGTAACTTTTATTTTATACCAA